GGGTGCGGCAGCTGACGCAGACGCAGGAACGACGCCCCAGAAGAAGGAGCAGCAAGGCAGTGGCAGAGAGACCCTGCAGCAGCAGCAGCAGCAGCAGCAGATAAAGCAGCAGCAGCAGCAGCAGCAGCAGCAGCAGCACAAAAACAAACGCATAGACCATTCTGCGTGCGTGCTGCTGTAATGTCACTGCCACGCTGCTGCTGAGGCTTTCTTGGCCCCACTCATAGATTCTTATCAGCAGCAGCAACAGCAGCAACAGCAGCAACATAAGCAGCAGCAGCAGCAGCACCGCCGCAAAGCTCGAGTGACAGAAATAGTTTCAGCAGCAGCAGCAGCAGCGGCAGCATAAACAACGGCAGCAGCAGCGGCACCGCGAAGTTCCAGCAGCAGAAGTGGAGATAGCAGCAGCAGCAGCAGCAGTTGTTCAGCGCTTTGATAACAAGAAAAGCAGAAGCAGCAGCAGCAGCAGCAGCAGCAGCAGCAGCAGCAGCAGCAGCAGCAGCAGCAGCAGCAGCAGCAGCAGCAGCCTCACCGTCTGCCACTGCCCATATTTTGATGGTGCTGCAGCTGCGCCTGAGCCAGGTGACAAGATGCTTGCTGCGGCGAATGAGGCGGTGCTGCTGCTGCACTGCAGCAGCAAAAATGCTGTTGCTGCGGAGGCCGCAGCAGAAGGGGGCCGGCGGAGAGTCCTGCTGCTGCTGCTGCTGCTGCTGCTGCTGCATCTCGCGTGCTTCCTGCAGCAGCAGAGAGGCTGGCGCGTCCGCTGGCAGCTTCGGGGTGAACAGTTTGGTGCTGCAGCTGCTGCAGCGGCTGCTGCAACTGCTGCAGCAGCAGCTGCTGCTGCTGCTAACTACGCCGCTGCTGCTGCTGCTGCTGTAGGAAGTGGGGGAATCTACATAGCCCGCCCAGAGGAAGTCCAAGTCCTGTGCTGCTTCTTCCGGCGCTGCTGCTGCTGCTGCTGCTGCTGCTGCGGTCCTGTTGAAGGCGAAGTGCCTGGGCGGCGCCGCAGCAGCAGCAGCAGCAGCAGCAGCAGCAGGACTCTGCGTGTGCACCACGGTGTACAGACACCTGAGAGTGTGGGAGTCAAAGACATACAAAGAGCTGCCAGCCAAAACAGTTAGCTGCAGATTTCTGAGAGAAACATCCAGGGGGAAGTCCTGGTGTTTTGCTGCTGCTGCTGCTGCTGGCAGCAGCGCAGCAGCAGCAAGCTGCCCGTCCAGCAAGTTGTAGCCCCGCAGCACTCCCCGCTTCAGCACTACTGCTTTTGTTGCTGTTGCCACTAAGCAGGCCCGAGGCTCCTCTTCCTCCTCCCAGCTGCTGCTGCTGCTGCTGCTGCTGCTGCTGCTGCTGCTGCTGCTGCTGCTGCTGCTGCTGCAGCGGGGCAGCAGGTGGTCCACTGGTTTGTTGGCCTCGGCGCGCCACATCTCCCGCTGCTGCTGCAGGTGCACCAGGTGTATGTACACCCCGTCTTCCCACAAGAAGCAGCAGCAGCAGCAGCAAAGTGCCAAACTGCGCACGCGGGCCCGCGGCAGCGAGGGCCGCAGCAGCTCCTTGTAGCTCGTGTACCGGTACTTCGCCTGCAGCAGCAGCAGCAGCAGCAGCAGCAGCAGCAGCAGCAGCAGCAGCAGTTTCACCATCAGCAGCAGCAGCAGCACTACCACCATCAGCGGCAGTTCAATCATCATCAGCAGTAGCTACATCACCATCACCATCACCATCAGCAGCAGCAGCAGCAGCAGCAGCAGCAGCAGCAGCAGCAGCAGCAGCAGCAGCAGCAGCAGGAGTGACCTGTTTGATGTTTCTGACGAAACTTGCTGCTTTGGCAAAGGCCAGTCTCCAGCTCCAGCCCAGGCGGTACTTAAAGTAGTTTTCATATTTAACTCCAAACTGCTGCAGCAGCAGCAGCCGCCACTGCTGCTGCTGCTGCTGCGCCAGCAGCACATACCACTCGCGGCACACCAAGCAGCAGCTGCACAAGTCCCCCACGCAAAAGAACTGAGAAGCAAGCAGCAGCGCCAGCTCGGGAATGCTGCTGCTGCTGCTGCTGCTGCTGCTGCTGCTGCTGCTGCTGCTGCTGCTGCTGCTGTGTGTGCTGTTGCTGCTTCCTATGGCCAAGCTGCTGCTGCTGCTGCTGTTGCTGCTGCTGTGTGTGCTGTTGCTGCTTCCTAAGGCCAAGCTGCTGCTGCTGCTGCTGCTGCTGCTGCTGCTGTGTGTGCTGTTGCTGCTTCCTATGGCCAAGCTGCTGCTGCTGCTGCTGCTGCTGCGGCTGCTGCTGCTTTCTTTTAGACGGTTTACAAATTGCGGACTCTCCGCCACGCAGTTTGCTGCAGAGGTGTCGTTGCTGCTGCAGTGGCTGCTGCAGCTGCTGCAGCTGCTGCTCTCCGTGCTGCTGTCGCTGCTGTCGCTGCTGCTGCTGCTGCTGCTGCTGCTTATTTCTCCACCTCTGCCCGTGCTGCTGCGGCGCAGAATTTCGCGGTGGCTGCCGCTGCTGCTGCTGCTGCTGCTGCTGCTGCTGCTGCTGCTGCGGTCTCGCCTGCAGCCGCTTCTGCGGCAGCTACTGCTGGAGCGTTGCCTGCATCTGCTGCATCTGCTGCTGCTGCTGCTGCTGCATCTGCTGCCGCTGCTGCTGCACCTGCTGCTGTTGCTAGCATTGCTGCTGCTGTAGAGATCAACTCTGCACGGGCCAGACTGATCTTCCCTGTGTTTGTTTTTGTTGTTGCTGCTGCTGCTGCTGTTGTTGTTGCTGCTGCTGCTGCAGGCTCTGTCCGCATAGATCCGGTGGGTCCCGCTGCGGCTGCTGCTGCTGCTGCTGCTGTTGCTGCTGTTGCTGCTGCTGCTGCTGCTGCTGCTGGAGCATCTGTTAACGCTTACATTGTTGCTGATGACATAGTTGCTGCGTTTGCAGCTCGAGCCGCTGCTGCAGCAGTGGCAGCAGCTGCTGCTGCTGTTTGTGCTGCTTATATCGCCGCTGCTGTGGCAGCTGCTGCTGCTGCTATTGCTGCCGCTGCTGCTGCTGCTGCTACTGCCGAGCAGCTGATAGCGGGGGGCCCCTGAAGTGCTGCTGCATCTGCTCCTCAGTACAGGGAGCATTTGTGCTGTTGCTGCTGCTGCTGCAGTTGCTGCTGCTGCTGCTGCTGCAGTTGCTGCTGCTGCTGCTGCTGCAGTTGCTGCTGCTGCTGCAGTTGCTGCTGCTGCTCTTGCTGCTGCTGCTGCAATGGATCAGCAGCCGCTGCACTGGCCGCACCTCAAGTGCCAGCGCACGCACAATCCGTGATGCTGCTTCTGCTGCTGCTGCTGCTGTTGCTGCTGCTGCTGCGGTGCCATTAGCTGCAGCAGCTTTCTCTTGGGCGTCGCTGCCTGCAGCATTGCTGCGCAGCCGCTGCAGCCGACAGCTGCTGCTGCTGCTGCTGCTGCTCCCTTCTATGTTTTCCCTAGTAAAATTGCTGGCAATTCTGCTGCAGTAGCAATTGCTGCTTCCGCTGGTGCCTCGGGAGTTCGGTGGCTGCTGCAGCAGCGCACGCTGGACCGTGCAGCTCTGCTGCTGCTGCTGCTGCTGCTGTTGCTGCTGTTGCTGCTGTTTTTGCTGCTCCTGCCCCAAAGTTCGCCGCCCGCATGCAATATTTGTGTGTTTACAAGGCCAAAGTACACATATGGCTAGCCTTTCCTGCTGCTGCTGCTGCAGCCGTTGCTGATGGTGTTGCTGCTGCTGCTGCTGCTGCTGCTGCTGCCGACGAAACCCTCACCGGTGAGGCTGTGCTGCAGCAGAGGGAATCTTTTCAGGTGTCTTTGCAGTTCTTGCTGCAGATGGTGTTGCTGCTGCTGAATTCGAGCTGCTGCTTCTGTTTCTGCTGCGGTTGCTGCTGGTGCACGTTCAGGTCGAGCGCTGCTGCTGCTGCTGCTGCTGCTGCTGCTGCTCGCTGTCTGTGTTGCAGCAGCAGCTGCTGCTGCTGCACCGAATGCAGAGGCGCTCAGACAAAAATTAGCCCCTTTTATGAATTGAAAACAATCTACTATCGACATTGGCCTCACTAAGTGCAGCAGCAGCATTGCTGCTGCTGCTGCTGCTGCTGCTGCTGCTGCCTATACCCGTGCTGCTGTCCCCTGGCTAGGGACGAGACAACAGCAGCAGCAGCAGCAGCAGCACGTTCATTCTTCAGGGCATTGCAGCAGCAACTCCCGCAACAACTGTAAACCGCTTTGGTGGCCTTTGGTTGTCCCTGCTGCTGCAACTGCGGCTGCTGCTGCTGCTGCCACAGCTGCTGTCTTGCTGCTGCTGCTGCTGCTGCTGCTGCTGCTCTCACTGTTGTTTCTGTTGCTGTTCTCTGCCCGAGCAGCATCTTTCATATGCTGCTTCTGTCTTTTATGCTGCTATTCTGCTGCAAGCCGACTCATTTGCTGTGTTTGCTGCTGCTGCTGCTGCTGCTGCTCCCTCCGTGCTGCTGCTGCTGCTGCTGCGCCGCTGCTGCTGCTGCTGCCCGGCGTACACGGTCCCAGCAGCAGCATAAAAGAACTTCAAAGACTTTTATCAATTAAAAACATTTTAATTGCTGACCCAGAAGCTGCTGCTGCCAGCAGCAGCTAGCACCTGGTGGCTAGCTGTGGCTAGCTGCAGCTAGCTGAAGGCCACGGCTTGCTGCACTCCTAGCTAGCTGCAGCTAGCTGCAGCTAGCTACAGCTAGCTGTCAGCCACGGCTAGCTGCAGCTAGCTGCAGCTAGCTGCAACTAGCTGTCAGCCACAGCTAGCTGCAGCTAGCCATTGGCCACAGCTAGCTGCAGCTAGCCATGGCTAGCCACAGCTAGCTACTACAGCTAGCTACAGCTAGCTACAGCTAGCTGCAGCTAGCCACAGCTAGCTACAGCTAGCCACAGCTAGCCGCAGCTAGCTGCTGCTCGCTGTGGGAGAATTCGGGGAGATGAAGAGTGCAGCAGCAGCAGCAGCAGAGCAGCAGCAGCAAAAGAGAAAAATGGATTTGCTGCATTTGATAAAATTAAAAGTAAAATGAATTAAACTCAATAGCAGTTCCAAACGACAACCTATGACCCCCCTAAACCCTAAACCCTAAACCCTAAACCCTAAACCCTAAGCTATGAGCACTAAGCCATCAGCCTGATAATCCAAACCCTAAACCCTAAACAATAAACCCTAAACAATGAGCCGTAAACTCTAAACCCTAAACCCTAAAACCTTAAACCCCAAGCCCCAACCCCTAAACCCTAAACCCTAAACTCTAAACCCTCAAACCTAAACTCTAAACTTTAAACCCTAAACCCTAAACTCTAAACCCCAAACCCTAAACCTCAAACCTTAAACCCTAAACGCTAAACCCTAAACCCTAAACCCTAAACCCTAAACTCTGAGATAAAATAAAATAAAGGAAAACACAGAAACAGAGACAAAGACACGTGTAACAGCCAAAACAGCAGCAGCAGCAGCAGCAACAGAATTAGCAGCAGCAGCAGCAAATGCAGCAGCAGCAGCAGCAGCAGGATTAGCAGCAGCAGCAATATTTAGCAGCACGAACTCCACCAGGCAGCAGCAGCAGCTGCTGCTGCTGCGGCTGAAGCCCCTCCTGTCCAGACAGCCGAAACAGCCGGGAACAAAAAGTGAATTTAAATTAAATTTCAAAATCTGAAATTAATTAAAAATTAAAATTAAATTAAATTAAATTAAAATTAAATTAAATTAAAATTAAATTAAATTAAATTAAATTAAATTAAATTA